TCAGCGGCCGTGGGGGAGGGGATGCGCCCACGCGTGCTGCTGCTCGTGGCGAAGGCGGGAGCGGGCCGCGCAAACAAGATGGTGGCGCCCTGGGGGGTGGGGGCGCCGCTTCCGCGCGCCGCGTGAGCCCGCTGTTGCTCCGGCGCTGACACCGGCTTCGCTCCCAGCAGAGACCAAGGTGTACGTGGGGAACCTGGGCACAGGCGCGGGCAAAGGCGAGCTAGAGAGAGCCTTCAGCTACTACGGGCCCCTGAGAACCGTATGGATCGCGAAGGAACCCGCGGGGTTTGCCTTCGTGGAGTTTGAAGACCCGAGGGATGCTGAAGATGCTGTCCGTGGACTTGATGGGAAGTACGTGCGCATTTCACATGTTTGCAGGAGCTACAGCCGGTTTTAAGACCAGAGAGAGAATCGGCGTTTTTCTCTGGTTCTTCTCCTTTTTGTAGTTCTGCCATAAACAGTAACGATTAACTTAGAGCCATCATGGACTTGTTGCAGGGTGATATGTGGCTCCAGGGTTAGAGTGGAAGTGTCAACGGGGATGCCTCGTCGCTCCCGTTACGACAGGCCTCCTGCACGGCGCCCCTTTGACCCTAATGACAGATGCTATGAGTGTGGTGAGAAAGGCCACTATGCTTATGATTGTCACCGCTATAGTCGCCGAAGGAGGAGCAGGTATGTGTGGGGCCAGAGTGGCTGGGTTGCTTCACCAGTTCACTTTTGTGTAGCTCTTGTGTTAGCAAAACAGAATGTTACGCCAGTTTTCTTTAAACCTTAATGCTAGAATAAATGTATAGGTGTATATTACAATTTGTTGCTATTTCTATCAAATGTTAATATCTTAATAATCAACCTGGTCAAAACCTTTCAGGTTTCTTCGTTTGAGTCAGTCGCCTTGATTCAGAATGTCACGAGCCTTAAGATTTCATGCTGAGGCGCCTTGCAAATCCGACACTTAAGATCCTCCTAGACCTTGAGGTGATCAGCATAAGAGGCCAGATCCCCTCGAGCCATCTACACGTAGCTTCACCTTATTCTTTAAGGGCAGAAAATTTGAGACGGTGATCGCCGTAACAGTAAATTTGGCTTTCAATTGGGGCCCCCCTCCGGTTTAGAAAGAGGAACACCAGATTGACCACATTCCCACCTAGAAAAATCTTCTTGCGTCAATCAAGCCTCACCCTGGCTCATTGGGCTGTCAGTTTGATCGTCGTTAGATTGAAGAGAACACCTAGATGCAGCGATCGGCTATAGATACTTCTAGATCGTCTAGATCTGCTAGACCTTGGGCCAAAGAGGGTCGACCTGCAAACTTGCAAGGTTTATTTTAAATACGCATTACAGTGTTTTCTATTCTAATGTAATTCTGCAATGTAATTCAGCTTTTAACATTTTTCTAGGTAGTAAAATGCTCAAGACAAGTAGGCCCAGAGATTTTTCCAACTGACAGATGCTAGTTCTTTAGTTGTCTGAAATCAGTTTTGACTTCAGCAGGGCCTCACGTGCACTGATTGCTGCAGCTGTTTCCTGATACCTGTTTTCTCTAACCTAAAACCAGGTCCCGGTCTCGATCCCGTTCAAGGTCCCGAGGAAGAAGGTATTCTCGGTCACGCAGTCGGAGTCGTGGTAGGAGGTGTGATTAAGTTTGTCTTTTGTTCCTATTTGCTGCTTTTGCTTAGAAAAAGCTACACTTGTACAACTCTTCAATTGACTTCTTTGCAGGTCCAGGTCAGCTTCCTATCGTAGGTCCCGGTCCGTTTCTCCTCGTAGGTCTAGGTCTGTGTCGCCCCGTCGGTCCCGATCGGGTTCCTTGAAGAGATCAAGGTAATTAGTATTTTTTAATATGTGTGCTTTGTTTTTGTTGCGGTTTTTCATTTTATTTAAGAGATTCAAAAAGGTATTGGATAGCAGACTTCGAAAGGTGTTGACCTCTAGAAATCAGACTTCAGTATGCTTTAAAAAGTTTCTGATAATCGTAGTTGAATTTACAGGCATGGTAATACGATTAGTTTTGAGACCTTACACAGCTGCATATCCCATGATGAATTTTGATATCTAAAACATCTAGTGATCATGTAGGTTTTATGTTCAACATGTCGACATTAACCTAAGTAGTGCTGTAATTGTCATCACTTCTGGTTGAGTTGACTTCTTTGATTTTGTTTTAATTTGTCTTAATTTTTTATTTCAGGTCTAGATCAAGATCCAGATCTAGATCCAGATCTGTTACATGGCCCCGAAGCAGGTAAGGTCTCTTCTGTGACTGTGGATACTTAGTAAAAGTTGCTTAAAAGTCTGTTTAGGCTTTCTAACAGCTGTTAGCATTTTCAGAAAAAGCTGTGTTTTCTCTCCACTAACTTAGGAGTCTGTAGTTTTAAAAAGCAGTGCAGAAGATTGTTCTTTCTCTTTTTATTGTTTTACATACCACTGATATCCAGGTCCTGATAGCCATCACAAGTACTGTTTTGATCAGGTTGCATTAACACCTAACATAGCAAACAAATTTAGAATTAATCTGAAAAGTTTTTTTCTTTGTGTAGCACACACAAGATTGGATTCTTCCCATTATTTGTCAGAGAAATCAGGATGCCCTCCTGGTAGTATGTTAAAGCATTAATGCATATAGCCAGGCAAGTCGTGAAGGGCTTGCTAGTTCCATGAGTGTTAACAGCTGTTTCCAGCTCTGTTGAATAACAAAGTGTCAGTCTGCAGGAGCTGAATTAAATTTGAGATAAACATCTGTCAGAATTGTCTTGTACCAAGAAACGTGCCGTAAGAGTGACGATCACGTTTTAAAGGAACACAGGATGTCATTCGTTCTCTTAAGCTGTAGTTTAATCCTTACGTAGTAAGGGAATGCAGCTTGTGCTTTGTGTAACCTTGTCCAGGCAGTGTGGCTGACATAGGTTGATTGGATGTCCTCGGCGAGCTGTCATAGGAGAACAAGAGTAAACTGAAGTTCTGCTCTGAAGGAGATGGTACTTCTCTTGCCCCAGCCCGTTGCTGGGCCTGCTGTTTGGTTTGATGGCTGCTCTTTGAAATAAATAACATAATAGTCAACCATGAAGAAACGCAAAAAAATTAAGGGAAGTCTTAGCTGAAGGGAGTAAGTGGAAAAGCCTTGTGGTTTAACCTCAGCTGGCAACTGAGCACCACACAGCCGCTCGCTCACTCTTCCCCACCCCCCCCCCCCCCCCCCGC